TTAGAAAGATCAAAGTTGGTATTTCAGAGTACTATTTAGACACACAAAGGCTCTGGAAAGAGTGTAAGGGGACCCTTAGAAATACTCTGATCTACATGATGAGGCCTCTAGGAATTTTTTCTCAATGAGATTCACATGAAATCCACAGTTTCCAAGAGAATTAGCTCAGCACATGCACAGCCAACTTGGAGCAACAAGGACAGAGATGGTACAAAATTAAGAGACCACTGGATTCCCAAAATTCAAATGCCAGTAAGCAAGATTAGGAAATGATTGAGCTGCCAACTCATGGCAGCATGAAGAGTCCAGAGGGCAGAGAATTATTCCTAGGCCATGGGATATAATCAAGAATTTCTGAACATTTTTCTGGCCAGATTTCAGAATTGCTATGTACGAGTGACCTCACTCTCTTGGCTGGGGGAAGGGGCAGCAGACAATGTCTTACTTTCGAAGGTCTGCAGATCAAGAAGAACTGTATTTAATAAACCTTATATGCTTCATAAGCACCTGGACCTGATTTAATTGAAAAGGTTATTGGCTTTGACCTGATGCTGAGAGGAGACTTTGGGAGGCCTTAGAGCAGGTGAGTGTATTTTGCATGTGGAAGGGACACATATTACTAAATGGCTACCTACCACAAATGACAGACTGTGGTACGTAGCCATTAAGATGGTTACTTCAATGATTCTCGCCTCCTGTTATTGATACCCTTTCATAATTCATTCCCCTTGGAAGTGAGCTGGGTCTAGTGACCCACTTCTAATTTACCAAATACAAAGACCAGGAGATGTCCATTGTAATATAAGTTTACAAAAAGATTCTAGTGCCCATCTTGGGTACCTTCTCTGGCCTGCCCACTTTCAAGGAAGCCAGCTGTCATGTTGCAAGTTGCCCATGTGGAAAGGAACTGATGTGTCCAGCCAAGAGTCAGTGAGGACTTGAGGCCAGCCAACAGTTTAAATGAGTTTGGAATATCATGCTCCTCAAGTACAGTCTTCAGATAACCACAGACTCCTAAGAGACTGTGGGAGTCAGAGGTGCCCCGCTAAGCCACTTATGGATTCCTTACCCAAAGAAATTGTAAAACAATGTATGTTTGTTTTAAGCCACTAAACTTGAGAGTAATTTTTGCACAATAACATACTATCACAGCTTGCTCTGATTCAGTGAGTTATTGATAAAATAGGGACTCTACCTGCAGTCAAAAGTACCATGCTGAACAGAATTACAGTAGCTGGTATTATGATTAAAACCCAACTGTCATTACCGTAGCATATATAAATTTATTTTTCACTCACATAATGACCCATTGCTAGTATTCCTGGGTGACTCAGGGCCCAGAGTTCTTCCATCTTGCTGCTTCACCATTCCATACAATTAGGTCTTCTTCTTCCCGCTGGACAGTACATGCTCTTTTTAATAACCAAGCCCTAAGTGACATACATCACTTGTATTCAAACCACACTGAAGAAAATTAACTTAATGGCCACAACTAAATGGAATAGTGGCTGAGGAGTGTAGGATGTACCTGGGCATTCCACATTCCAGAATCCATTCCAGACAACAGAAAGCACAGACTTTTGGTGGTCATCTAGTCCTTTCACAGACATCATTAACCAATACATACTCAGGATCTTGGAAAATAACCACAGTATGGACTTGTGGCCACTGGACCTGCTGTAACCTACCTTAAATAAAAATCCCCCCATAAACCCTCACTCTGCATAACAGAAACTAAAATCTTTTAGGAATTCAAGTGGAAACATTCATAGTGATTTTATTACAATCATTCGAGAGTACTCAGTCCCCTCTCTTTGGACTCAAGTGGATGTGGGACTTGAACACCACATCATGGAGTGTTTTTAATGAAAACCCCAGTGCAGTCTCAACCATAAAGATCAATTATTAAGTGCAGTGGAAATATCAGGTATCACAACATTCTTGGAGTTACAAGGTTTATTAGAACCATTTCACTCTGCTCTCATGGTTAACTGTTTCCCTGTAATTAAGCTATTACAGATGCGAGAGTTCAATACCCTTTTCAAATGCAATCGTTCTCATGAGAAGACCCAGTACCTAGATGACAAGGCATAAGAAAAACTTTAAGATGTTGGTGGTTTTTTTCATTTCAAAAGAACATGGAAAGGATACTGGGCCCAAAATGGGATCCTTGCAAAAGATGTGTTAGGGGCATGAATATAAACGATCCAATCCAGCATTATAAACTCTGGTCCTTATATATTACGCAAATCAATTCTTAACCATCTAAATACATTTCCTAAATTTTTGATGGTAAAATTAGTAGAGGATAACAAATATTTCTGGATGAGATTAATCCCTCCCTATCTTTCTTTCAAACTATAGGTCATCTTAGATTCAGATGCTGATTACCCACCAAGCAATAATGGTGGGACTAGAAGAGCAGACTCAAAAATTATGTTTCCTGTCACAAAGAAGGTATGGAAAGAATTGGTAGGGAGGTTTCTTAAGGTTTGAAGGAGCCAAAACTTTCTAAGATGCATGAATCCTTTGTGGCAACCCCATTTCCACCTTTCCCAACACTTCAGTTTCACTTAAGAGGAGTGGCAAGGTTGGGAATCCAGTCAAGTAACATAGCTCAGCAACTGCCTGGATCTACTGCTGCATCTGGCTTCCACCAATGGCAGCACCGTGATTAGAAGTGGTAAGATGATTCCCAACGAACTAATAAAAAGGCTCCAATTTCAATGTCTTGCTTAAAGTCAGAATTCCGAGAGGCCTTCTACTTGTAATTATCTAATTTCACTGGAAAGAAGCATCACAAACACTTTGGAACTAGCATGTCGTAAGAGCTATCTAGCCCCTTATGCAAAATGGGCTTATGACCTGCTGTATCATGAATACCTTTCCCTAGTACAAAACAGGACTCCAGGTCTGTGTTTTGATCTAGCTCGTCCAAAAATCAGTCCTTAACACTCTGCTTCTCTATAGTCCGATGATCATTCTCTAGTACCACTTCCTATACAGGGTAGCTTTCTTTGGTTGAAAGATAACTCAAGTCAGAATTAGAAGCTAAATATTGGAAGAATACCAGGTGCCTTGCAGGTTTAAAGAAAAGAACAAAACTAGGATGTGAGAAAGCAGAAATCATTTTAATGGATCAGAGTGATAGGCAGAGAGGGAGAAATCTTTAGGCTGCTGCCCAAGGATGACTCAATTACAACTACTCCTGGTCCAGGAGTGATGTTTCATATAGTTAACAGCAGGTACCAGTAAGGGCCTCAACCAATCAAAATGAATACTGACGGAAAGAAAGCATCCCTTCAGGCCACACATAAAGCCAAATATTGACCTTACTCCTGTCCTCAGGTCTGCAGTCAAAACACAAAGAATGGAAAATCTGATTGCCTTAATTGAAGCCTTTTGACTGGCAGTTTACCAGAACAACACAGAAGAAAGTGAAAGTGTCAATCAAGTGTGTTAAAGACAAAAACAAATTTCAATATATACACTGAAAAATATATATACAAACATGCAGTTGTATATACATGCAAAGATATATATATTCAATATTAACTTTGATGCTATGACTACAAGATCATATTACAAATAAGTTTGTGCAGATCACACGTATTTCATTGAATATATTGTGGATGGAAACCTCTCCAGAGAAGCACACATAGAACTTACTCTCCTTCTACTGACTGGACAATACAGTGTTGAATAATCACAACTTGGCAGGACACTGAAATCCTACTTGTCATAATTAAAACAATGCTGCAATAAAATGTCATTTAGATCTACCTATTTATTCCAATGGAATTCCTAGGTCTAGAATTACTGTTTCAAGAAAAATGCATATTTATAATGTTGATAGGTCATGTCACATCATGTTCCAAAACGATATGAGAAAAATTTACACAGCTAATGATGATCAAGTACCTGCTTTCCCACACTGGTAACAGTTCTTGGATATTCTCCAGATTTTAGACTTTGATTCATCTGAGAAAATTTAATTTGTAATTTTCTGGTTAGTGAGGTTAAGCAGATCACAAATTTTCTTTGCTTGTTTGAATTTGTCATTTGTGACAGGCCTGCTGGTATGCGGTCAGTTTCCCCTGCACTGCCTTGTACATGTAATAGCATTTGTTCCTAAATAGCATAGGTTTGTTTTTTTTTTAATGCAAGCTGTATATATTTTCTGTCAATTAGCTTTTACGTCTTTTTGGTGTCTTTACAATGCCAAAGTTTAAAATCTTTATATAGGCCAACTTATTTTCTTCCTTATGTTTTCTAGGACTCCATGTTCTACTTAGAAAATCCATCTGTATTATATACCATTGTATAATATTTCCCTGGAAGGTGTAAATGTGTGGGGGCTTGTTTATTTTTTGGAGGGTAAGTAATGTACTGTCAGAACATCATTTCTCCCCCAAACAAAGTCTTTTTATATAACCAAAATCACACATGCAAAGAAACTTATTTTTAAAATGTCCAGCTCTGATCTACAAATCATCTTTCCTTATGTGTTTTCAAAACAAAGTAAACATATGCTACTGGAACTCTGTTGTGAAAAACAATTTACAGATATTTTAACAATGTTGAGTATTTCATCTAGAAAAATATCTTTTCATTGACATATTTTGTTTAATATGGTTTCATATTTCCTTTCACCTTTATTTATAAATTACTTGACAGTTTTCCTTGTTGACCTCAGAGTTGTATTTTCCTCAAGGAAATAATTAAAACCTTTTGTATATTACTTCTCTGTGATAGAGTAAGGGCGAGCAAACTTTTTCTGTAAAAGGACTGGAATATTTGAAGTTGTGCAGGCCATACTGTCTCTGCTACAGGTACTTAACTCTGACTTTGTAGAGTGAAAGCAGCCAGAGGCAGTATGTTTAAAAAAAAAAAAAAAGAATGTGGCTGTGACCTAATAAAACTTTATTTACATACATTAAAATTTAAATTTCATAGAATATTCATGTTGTCATAAAAATGTCATTCTCTTCACTTGTTCAACCATTTAAACATTTTTAAACAATTCAGATCATCGGCCATACAAAAACAGTCAGTGAGACTTCAGCCATGAATCAGTTTGCAGAACCCTACCTACTCTTGATGAGTGCACCCCAGGTTAATGGTATTTTGAGAGTTAAACAAAATTCATTTATGAGTCCAGGTAACTTTCAATAGATTAAATCTTGCCAAATTTTCTAATTCTTGAATAACATGTCTGTACTTTTAACTTTGTTCATATGAAGCTTGCATTTTTCTGACTGTTCCGGGTGGCCTACTCATCCATATTCTCTACATACTTTCTGAAACTGTTGTCAGAGGTAAAGTTCAGTTTCCTCACCAAGCGCACCTTACATTTATGCAGATAAATTGGAAAATCACAACACTAACTCAACATTATGGAATCAAATTTTAAACCAACATAGGCAAAGTTTCATTGACAACCCAGAACTCCTGTTCCTGGCCTGTTCTATGCATCATTTTTCTTCAGAGGTAACTATGGTAATGCTTCCATGTCCCAAAATAATGTTTTGAAAAGAGCTAAAAAGACTCAACACTTAGGATGGACAAGGCACTGTTTTAGGAGCATCTTAGGCATTAACCAGTTTAAAGAATCTCAGTGCATGCTTTCACATGAAAAGTTAAGGAATTACACTTATGCCTAAATCAATCTGACTGCCATGTTGAAAACAAACTTGTAGAGGACAAACACAGAAGAGCAGAGAGACCAGTTCTTAAACAGTTGGTGTAGTCTAGCTGAAATAATGACATTGAAACTATGGGGATGGGAATGAGGATGGGTTCCAGAGATATTTGGGAAAAAGATCCACAGGACTTGATGTAGAGGGTAAAGAGGGGCGAGTTGATGACTCTCCAGCATGAATTCGCTGGGAAGCGAAGTGTGTACTCTGTCTGAAGACTTTTCTGCTTTTCTTATGGTTATAGGACCTCTCTCCAGTATGGACTCTTTTATGTTGATTAAGGTGCCCAATTTGGATGAAGGTTTTCCTACATTCCTTGCATTCATACGGTTTCTTTCCAGAATGAATTCTCTGATGTACACTAAGAGACTGACGATGGCTAAAGGCTTTGCCACATGCACTACACTCATAAGGCTTCTCTCCAGTGTGACTTCTGCGATGACAAATAAGGGATGACTTTGTCTTAAATGCCTTTCCACATTCAACACATTCATAAGGCCGTTGCCCTGTGTGAAGTCGTTGGTGTTGAGTACAGGATGAGTTGTCACCAAAGGCCTTCCCACACTCAATACATTTATAGGGCTTCTCTCCAGTATGAACTCTCTGGTGTTGAATCAGGTGTGTGGTCTGGCTGAAGGCTTTCCCACATTCCTTACACTCATATGGTTTCTCTCCTGTGTGAGTTTTCTGGTGCTGTGCAAGGTGAGCCTTTTGGGTAAAGGCTTTACTGCAAACCTTGCATTCATAGGGCTTCTCTCCAGTATGAATTCTCTGGTGAGTGGCCAGCTGGGAACTGATACTGAAGGATTTGCCACATTCCCCACATTCAAAGGGTTTCTCACCGGTGTGAATTCTCAAATGACTAGCAAGGTGTATATTTTGCCTAAAAGCTTTCCCACATTCTTTGCACTTAAAAGGCTTCTCTCCAGAATGCACTCTTTGATGCTGAGTGAGGGAGGCGTGATGGCTGAAGGCTTTTCTACAAACATCACATTCATATGGTTTCTCTCCAGTATGAATCCTTTGATGAACAGTAAGGGATGAGCCATACCTAAAGGATTTGTCACACACATCACATTTGTACGGTTTCTCTCCAGTATGAATTCTCCTATGTTGATTAAGTCCTATGTGATCACTGAAGGCTTTCCCACAGTTGACACATTCAAAGGGTTTCTCTCCAGTGTGATAATATCTCCAGTGACGAATAAGAGATGTGTTCTGTATGAAGGCTTTCCCACATTCAATGCACTCATAGGGCTTCTTGCCAGTGTGACATCTCTGATGTCGGGCAAAGGAGGAGCCATCGCTGAAGGCCTTTCCACACTCATTACATTTATAGGGTTTCTCTCCAGTATGAATTCTCTGATGAACAGTAAGAGATGAACTCTGGGTGAAAGTTTTCTTACATTCATTACATTTGAAAAGTTTTTTTCCTGCACAGATTCCTGCATGTTTTGTTATGACTGTATTTTGGGGGAAACTTTTCTTAACTGAATCATGATTCTGAACTCTCTCTTCTGAAATGTCCAAATGGAACCATCTTCCAGATTTGGTATACGTACGCTCTCTTTCTTTAGAGAGGGTTTTGTTATTAGTGATTGTCTCTTCCCTGAATTGTGTCTCCTGACCTACCAGCTTCCTTTCAAACACACCCTCAGAATCCCAATTTTCTCTGAAAGTGGAACATTCCACATTAGCGCTTAAAGTTCTGTCTGTTACCACTTCAGCAAATAAATCCTGCTTTGGAAATAATTCCTGGGTCTCATGTACAGATTGTTGGCCTGAAACATATCAAGAAAACAAATATTTCCTTTATCATATACTAGAAAAATATACGCTAAAAGGAAAATTGTAAATGAATTCAGTAAATGGTGAATTAAACCACATAAATTATGCATTTCTAAAAGCTATTGCATTTAAACATGCAGCTTATAATGTATGTAAAAGAGACCCCAGACTGAATTCATACAGGAACCTTAGAAGACATGAGTAGAAAAAAATATATATGAAAAATTGGTTACATATCAGAAGAGTAAAGATCTGAAAACACATTCTGCAAATCACACCACCTAAAACTACACTATGACACGCACTGATTTTTAACTTCTCTCTCACTGTCCGTCCATCCTGCTTTCGATGTCAGGGCAGTCATCACATCACAAAAGTTGTTCCAAAAAACATGCTAAAGCACAAGAGACCATACTCAATGATGTTCATGAGGAGTATCTGAAAGGCCAATTATTCCCCTACAATAAGAAAATGATGCTTCTGTAAACCACATTTTATTTGAGTAATTTCAACAAAACTACATTGCCAACTGATGGCCATGGCTCAGTGGTCCCATAAAATCATTTTTATGTTTGTTTACCTGCTTGCGTCCACAAGCCTGACAAAATCTTCCCTTCTTTCCTGGCTAGTTATTGAGGATAGGGTCTTGTAAATTAATTTCTCATTCTGAAGAGACTGTATTTATAATGATAACTCTTAATATTATATTTAATTATGTCCATATATACTACTGGAAAAGTATACAGCCTAGCTCAGTCTTGAACCTCATAGGGAAGAGTGAATATATCTGCAAATCCTTTTGCCAAAACAGCTTGCATATACCAAAAACTGTTCATATGTAGTTATATCTTAATAAATATATATAGATGAAATTGGTATTGGGGGGATGATACAGAGAGACAAATGTCTGGAAAAAGATGATGATAAAAAAGAAAAGAGGAGAACGTCTTTTTTTAAAGGACAAATAAACACTGAAAACTTTCCTTCTTAGATCAAAACAAGACAAGGATGCGTGCTTTCACAACTTCTATTCAACACTGGTCCGGGTATTCTAGCCAGAACAATTAGAAATAGAAATAAAAGGCATCCACATTTGCAGATGACATGACTTCATATACAGAAACCGAAAAGAATTCATAAGCTAAGTGTCAGAGCTAATAGTAAGTTAATTCATCAAAACTGAAGGATACAGGAGCAACACACAAAAATCACCGCATTGTATATACTAAGAATGAACAATTTAAAAAGGAAATTATGAAAACAATTCCATAAAAATTAGCATTGAAAGAAGAAATTATTTAGGAATAAATTTACCCAAAGAGGTGCTAGATTGATGCCAAAAACTATCAAACATTGCTGAATAAAATTAAGAAGACCTAAATAAATGGAAAGATACCCTGTGCTCATGGAAAGGAAGACTTTATGTGCTCAGAATTAGAAAAAGAGCAAGAAAAGAATTAAACAGATAAGAGAAAGAAGGCCAAACAAATTTGTTATGTGGTACCAATGGGAATAATGTATCTATTAGTAAAAAGAAAAACTATGAGTGGAAAAAGTCAAAAAAGTAAATCCTTCTATTAATGAAGATACCACCCAATTTAAACTACCATATAGCAAGAAACATCATGCAAACTTACAGACCACACAAAACTAAGAAAAAATGTATCATATTCACAAAACAGGACTTGTACCCACACTACATAAAGGCAAAAAAAGGGGACCCAATAGAAATGTGAGTGATGAGTATAAATTCATGTAATATGAATTCTAACTGGATTTAAATGTATACACTCTCAACACCACAAGCTTCTGGGAAATAAATATTAAATAAAACTCAATTTTCATCGAATATCTTGGCAAAAATTTTAAAAAACCAACCAACCAATTACTATTGGTGAAGATGTCTAGAAATGGGTTTCTCACATATTATTCACCAACAGTACAGCACCATATCCATGAAACTTTAAAAATATATATATTTTGATCATGCAAAGATGTATGTGCAAACTGGACTGCTTTTATTGTAAGTAAAAACTGGAAAAGACCTAAATGTTCAAATGTCCTCAACAGTAAGGCAATTAAGTGAATTTTGGTATACCTATATATTGTAACACTAGACAACCATTAAAAAAAATAAAGAACTACATGTATCTAGTTTCTAAGGACACAAATAGGAGAAATCGTAAAAGAAGTAATATATAAGACTATATAAAATTTTTCAAAGTTTTACATATCACACTTTATAAGGCCTAATTAAAACAAAAACTCTCATTACCATATGTAAACAACAGTTTGGGATAATACATCAAAGAATTGGTGTATTTATGTAAAAAAGTCACTGCGACTGCCCTGGCTGGTATGGCTCAGTGGATTGAATGCTGGCCTATGAACCAAATTGACTAAGTTCAATTCCTAGTCGGGGCACATGCCTGGGCTGCGGGCCAGGTCCCCAGCTGGGGGCAAGTGAGAAGCAACCAACTGACGTTTCTCTCTCTCTCTCCCCCTTTCTAAAAATAAAAAAATATTTTAAAAAAAAGCCACTGGGACTTGGAACATTTGTGACACAATTAGAGAAATGGGTATAAATGAGAAAGATTTTATACAAGGATAAAGATAATATCCAAATTTAGAGAAAATAGTCAACTCTTTTCATAATTTAAAAAAATAACTTTAGGCTATAATCTTTTTCCAAACAATAAGCATTAAAAAGAATATACATTTTTAATCCACACTCAGGGACATTCTTACATTGCTTTTAGAGAGGAAGGGAGGGAGAAACATCAATTGGTTGCCTTCTCTCACACGCCTCAACTGGGGATCAAACCTGCAACCTGGGTACGTGCCCTGAGTGGAATCAAACCTGCGACCACTTGATTGACAGGATGATGCTCCAAACAACTAAGCCACACTGGCCAGGGCAATAAGCAAGGGTTTTCATCAAAATACCCAGTGCTCTGAGGAAACAATTAAATCCATTCTTCTTGTCATCACTAGAGTTGCTGAATGCAAAGCAAACTTTCAGAGCCTAGCCGGTATTCAGATTCAGGAACACAGCAATCACTAAAACATATAATTTTCACTTCCATAAAGATTCCTACTGCATGTATATTTTTCATGTCAATAAATGTGAAGTAACCTAATTGATTATGTACAACCTGGAAGGTATGTGAAAAATATCTGTATGCACGAGGGAATATACACTACAATTCCCACTACATTAAAAAATATCTGTTCATCATGACTTGAAAGGGGTCAGTGTTGCCTTGTTAACATACTGTGTTTACAGGTCATCCAGACAGGTGATAAGATTATATTTTCTACAAGCTTTTATTTTTCTTAAAAAAATTTCTTTTCCTTCTCTTGTGTATCAAACGAGAAAGACCCTCCACTGATGCTTTCTTGCCATTCAACTTCCACTTACCCTGTGTGACAACAAGGTTGCTCCTGGGATCCTCTCCTGTGCCCCTGCAATGCCTTATTGAAAATGCTGCCAGGTCTACTTCATGCCAGTTACCCACGAATATGTCTTATTCTCACATTCTGACATCCCTCCCCCATTAGAGTAGTGGTTTGAGTGACATATGCGTAAGTTTCCTCTCTCCAACCACCTGCCAATGCCAAGCAGCGTGGCCAACTTGTGGTTCTTACAGGAATGAAGGCATGAAGTGAACAGACCTTTGACCATGGAGGGGTAACCCTTTGGTAACAGATCAAATGCACATCGGGTCAGGAAAGGTCACTGGAGGAACCAAGCGGCTGATGCCCGTCTGAGTGGCTGGGAACAGGAGGAATGCTACCCGGCAGGAGTGCCACGGAAGGAGGAGGAAGGAAAATAATTTTGAAAGGGCAGACCTCATTTTCTCTGTAGCCCGAGAGGACGTGGTAGGGTTTTTCTCCGGCACGTCAGTGAGGACTCGGCCCCGGGGAAAGCTACATCTCAGCTGTGGTGGCCTTCCCAGGCCGGGCCTCCCGCGCTCACCTGAGAGCATGTCGCCTGTCAGCTCTCTCTTCACCAGCCATGGCTCCTTCCCCCGGTCCAGTACAGACACCACATCTGGCCCAGAAACACAGCGCCCTGCATGCAGGAAAAAACAGGGGGTCCGCCCATGCTCCTGGCATTCCGGAGAACCAGTCCCTGGGCTTTGAGAGAATGGGATGTTACAGAAGAAGCGGGGAGGAAGGCAAGGAGTGCCCGACAGACAGCAGGGACAGGGCTTCCAGCATAATGATGGTACCAACATTCAGCTCTGCCAGGGGCAACTCTTACCTTAGGAACCTAGAGCAGAAACTCAGCGCACACTTCAGAAGACCTAGCACGCGCACACACAATTTGGAACCGAGGAAAGAAAGATCTGGGGGAGGGACAGCCTCACCTGCCGCCTCTAGGTCGGGCTTCTCCCAGATCACACTCTCATGGAAGCTCTCCCGAGCTGGCCCTAGCTGCTGGGAGACGTTGGTGGCCATGTCCGCGATGGTCTCCAAGCCCTGAAATGGCACAAACACATTTTCTGACCAAACCATACTCATGAACCTCCAACGGCTCTGGTGGGCTGGGCTGTGTCTACACACTGAGAATTCTAGGTTCCAAGTGATTTGGGTCACATAATGATTGTGCCTTGTCACAACACATAAGTTTTGGGGGAAAGAAAGAAAAACGGGAGAATCTGTTCCTGCCATGGAGAATTTATAATTCTGTAGAGGAGAATGAGCTTACACACAGTATCAATTTTCTCATGCTGACTGACAGCTGCCCCACATTCAATACACATCACTGGGTAAGTCCGCAGGCTTTTCCTCTCATATGAAACCGCTGACGAAAAGGAAGAGTTGCGGCCCTGCTCGAGGTTCCCTCATGTTCACCACACGTCAAACGTTTCTGCTCTCAGCAGACTTGTTACGAATGAATCCCCCCAGCTTTTCCCATGTTTCTCCGGGCTGCGTGCTCCTCCTCCTGGGGGCCAGCCTGTCTGCAGGGCGCACTGTGCTCAGAGGGCTGGCATCGTCTCTATTCTGGGATGAGTTTCTTAATACAGGACACTGTCTTCTCGCTCTGACTTCTGCCCACCCTGAGCCACCGAAACAAGGAAGCCGTGCCTGCAAACCCTCTCCTCTGCCTAACACCCTGCTGCAAATCTTGCAAACTCTGCCTCATGCAAGTTACCTGGGAACATCCCCTCTCCGTTCCATGCACGGTCTGACTTACCGGCTGCCTCTCGAACGGAGCCCCACAACCCCAGCGTTCCCCCAACGTGGAGCACTGCGCACGGTGGCTGGCGAGCCTCTCCATCAGCACAGCCTCGGACCATGGGCCTTCACATGCGTCCCCCTCAGCAGGCAACTCCGCGGCCTCCAGCACAGCCCGCCAGTCTGAAAGACAGCAAGACAGTACGCACCGGTTTCACTATGGATCAGAATGAAGACGACTTCCCGAATGTAATCAGATGAACTAAAGTCCTCAGGAGAACACGTCATTCTGAAAGCATTTCCCTGACTAACCAGCCTTACATTCCCCAATTTCTGCCGCTTTCATCCTAAATGTATGAACTTTCTCGCCGAAATGCTGACCAAGCAGGGCACATTATGCTGTTAGCAGGAGACTGAAGAAAGAAACCAAAGATCAGATGAGAGAGCTCACAAAAATTTACATCTACGATAAAATGTGGCAAATACAGACTAACAGGGAGGGGAGGCTACAAAAGGAAACACTGTATAATCCTTACCTGGGCTTATTCATTTCAAGTTGCTTTGACACTTTCTCCATTTTATCCAGCAAAAATTTCCCCTCTAGCTCAATATGTCTCCTTTATTACTAATAAAAATGTGATTAAACACGAAATTTAAGAGGAAAACTTTCACAAAAACACCCTTGCAGTTCTGCGCCCCAACAACACACACGAGCCATCGTCACTTGTCACTGTCATCACCCATCCTGTCGATACCACGGTCCCTCTGAAGCATGATTTGAAAAGAGGGGTCTCACAAAATTCTCCAGCCTTTGGGAATCCTCGCCATTTCCTGTTACAGTAACGTCCAACAGATCTGCAATTCTGACTTCCTGTCTTACTTGATTAATTTGTTTTTCCAGAGATAATGCTTTGATTGATCTCTCTGTATTCCCTAGTGGTACAAATAGCATCACAATATCTGTAAAAACAGTCCAGCAAGTCAGAATCACGTTCTTTTCTTCTGAGAGCAATCACCCAATCTCGTGCTACCTGTCTGCACCAGGCAATCGACGTGAACCCCAAATCAATTATGGCTGGGCCCAAACTCATCTCCTAACCTTATTCTAACAGTGTGCTAAAGGCTCTAATCCCCTTTTCCTGGCCTGAAAACTCAGAATGCATTTCTTCCTCCTCTTAGTCTCTCTTCCACTTATCACATGCAGGACGGCGATTTCTACTTCCCTGAGTCACGTACAGGCGTGCGCTGTCTCCCCTGGGAGGTGCTGATTCTCACCGGCAGACACCAACCAGTACCTGATGGCTGTGCTCAGAGCTGACACCCAGGAAGGACTGGTTTTAAAAAGTCCATAAATCAGTCATTTCATCAAAAAGAAGTAAGATAGTAAAAACGACATAAGAGTCAGCCAAAGATTTCTGAACGAAAGGAAATGACTATGTAAGTCTGAATATCAAAGGGTCTGAGTGAACTGGGGAAAAAAATGGACCCAGACTGTAGGAATAAAGTTAAGTCTGGAGGAAGGGGGGCAACGTGGAGGTAAAAACCTGGGGAGTCTACTTTCAAGAGGACTTACTTTGCCCTCCAGGCCCAGAGCTTGGGAAGAGCTTGCTGATGAGCCTGCATGTCTGTGGCTGCTGAGATGTGACTCCCAGCAGCTCTCCCACCTGGGTCCCCCATGCTCACCTGGGCACCGGCCTCTGGTCAACTTCCTCTTGGCCATCCAAGGCTCTTCCCTTTGTTCTAATGAGGAGATCATATCGGGCTTTGAGAAACAAAGTCCTAAATCCATAAAAAGAAACAGGAGGTGGGTCTGAGATGGGAGAGGACTAGATGCTCAAAGCGTGACAATTCCAAGTTACGGGAGCGGACAGGGAAGGTGCGAGAGAGGGCGGGAACACCCTTACCCAGAGACACCAGGTTCCTGTAGTTCTCCAACATCACATCTCTGTACAGGACTCTCTGAACACAGGTCAGGCGTTCCCACTCCTCCTGGGAGAAATCTACGGCCACATCTCCGAACGTCACCAAGCTCTGCAAGGACAGAACCACGTTATCCCTCAACCAGCGCTCGTGCCCCTCACGACCGGGGGCTGCTATGGACCAAACTGTGTCACCCAATTTGTATATTGAAGTGCTAACCCCCAGTAACACCAAGAATAAGGGATCAGAGGGGTGACCATATGGAGGCAGCAAGAGGGGGTACGCACGCCGAGCGGGGAGCCCTCAGGAGAAACCAACCCTGCCGGCACCGTCATCTTGCATTTTTAGCCTCAAGAACTGCAAGAAAAGAAACCTTTGTTGTTTGGATTCCCCTCGTCTGCGGCATTCTGTCTTGGAAGCCCTCCCAAACTGACATAGGGATCTAAGGGTGGCCTTGTCTTCATTTTGGGTAAGAGAATCTAGTTTAATCTCATAAACTCCAAAGAGAAAACAATGGAGACAGCCCCTGCCCGGGAGAACTGGCACATCCATGTGGGTGAAAAGAGGGACAAGCGAGAAACAGTTTCGACATCAATTCAAACAATAAATCACAAAGGCAAACTCTTCCACGCTCAGCGCGGGCAGAGCATTTTCCATGTGAAGACACTCGAGGGGCCTGGGGTCATCAGCACACGGATGGAGAAATAAACCTGGGCATGAACCTCAGAACAACACGACCAATCCCCACTCCCCACACGGGGTTCGAGGGCGTTGTGTGTGACTTCACTAGATGTTGCGTGTTCATTAAAACAAAACAACATGGTAATATCTGCAGGCAAGAGCCAAGAATGGCCCCTTGAACCCTGAGCCAAAGACGCACTCGTGCGCCCACCTGAGCGAGCTGGTCTGACACACATGCAGGTGGGCTCGCGGAGCACGTGGCCAGAGCAGAGGGACAGACCTGCAGGCTAAATAACGGGCAGGAGTGTGCATCTGGCCAGACAGACTCCACAGCAGCTCTGGAGCTGTTTGTGTCCATCTGCTGCTGACCCGCACGTCACACCGGCAATTTGCTAAATGTCTTTAATTTTGAAAACTGTGCATGGTTTAGCAGTAGAAATCGTCAAGCATCCTGGAACTCTAACATTTCAATGCACAGTGAACGAGGCCAGACACAGAAAGACAAATACTGCATGATCTCACCCCGATGTGGACGATAAAACAATCCAACGTACAGAAGAGAGGACGACAGTGGCTGCCAGAGGCCCAGGGGAAGAGGAGCTGGCATGTGATGGTCGGAGAAGACAGACTTCCAGGTGTGCAGGGTGAGTGAGCGCCGGAGACTTCCTACACAGCACAGTGCTCACAGCTAACAACAGTGTAGTATAAGAAGGCATATCTCATGTCAAAGGTTCTTACGACCAAAAATATTACACTGCCCTGGCTGGTGTGGCTCAGTGGATTGAGAGCTGGCCTGCGAAACAAAAGCTGCTGGATGGATTCCCATCACATACATCACATACATGCCTTCGTTGCGGGCCAGGTCCCTGGTAGGGGGCGCATGAGAGACAACCACATATTGATGCTTCTCTCCCTCTTTCTTCCTCCCTTCCCCTGTCTCTAAAAATAAATAAAATCTTTAAAAAAAAAAAATAATGTTATGCTAAATGGTAGGCGTAAACGTTGGGAGGTGATGGATTGGTTCCTGGTCTTGATGGTGGTGATGGTTTCATGGTGTAGACTTATCCTCAGACTCATCAAGTGGTACGCATTAAAAACAGGTAGCTTTTTACACATCAATCTTAACTTAAGTGATTTAATAACAAAAAAGTCATTTTATTGCAACTATTTCAAATTGTGTCTATTTCAGAGACACGGGCTCTCAGACACAGGCTGACGGGCTCTCAGACACAGGCTGCTCTCAGACACAGGCTGCTCTGTGCCTGTGACCTGCTGATAGCAGACGCGGTCACAGACTCCAGTCTTACGATTCTAACTGCTCTGGGGCTGGCAAGTATCGTACTTATTTTTTTCAAATATTCACTTATTTTTCAGACACTCTTTACTAATTATGTTTTAATAATCTTTATAATATGTTTACAGCGTCTTTACAGTAACTCTATGAGTCTTCTGATGCAAAAGAAAACAACGTCCATTTCTCTAGCGTTTGTTACCACATTGTCTTGGGCAAGAAAACCAAACGCGTGGGCTTCTAAACTGAAGCAGCTATGTTAACATTTTCTTAGACTTCCCAGAAGGATTCTTGTGGGTTTGATGATTTTTCCTTAATAGGAAAGGGTCCCTCTCAACTCTCTAACCCCACATGGGCTCACAAGGGATCCAACATCCACAGTGTATGTGCCTTCTTGTGGTGTCTGTCCATGCCCACAACCAATACCTTTGTTGTGTTTGCCAATACAACTGGTGTTTGCCAATACCTTTTACTGTAAATAACAATCACAGCTCAGGTGTTCACAATATTCCAGGCACACTTCCAGACGCTGACACATAAGCTACGTCATACCACAACAACCCCAACCACCCCAACTGCTGGTCCGATTCCTGCCCCCTGGGACCCGTGAGGAAGCAGAGCTATGATTGGCCCGAGATCGCACAGTCCCCTGCAGAGCCAGGACCTGAGCCTGGCAGTCTGGCTCCACAGGCCACGCGCTTCCCCTCCACATCACAGCCAGCAAAGTCCTTCCGCCAAGGGCTTCAGGGCCACAGAGCCTGTCTCAACCACTCCACTCTGCTCCCAGATCGGGAGCGAAGCCTTGGACAAGGAGTGGGCTGTGCTCCAAGGAGCCTCTTTGTGTGCACCAAAGCGTGACGTTCCCTGATTCCCACATGTCAGAAAATACTGTTCTTCTTTCAATGATTTTCAACCACTAGAAAACATAAAAACCATTCGCAGCTTCAGAGCTATGTATACAAAAAGAACTGGGGGCCGGAGGCGGCCGTCCCACGTTATGCACATTGTGTGGTTAATGAATGTCACCTAAGGGCGTGCCTGCAAATTTCTAAAGCAAATCACGAGGGTGTGACATGCCGACCACTGACACTCACTGAGTTCTGACTGGGTGCTGACACCTTACATGTATCAACTTAAGTAACCTTGACAAGAACCAGGAGGCACGTGCTGCCTTTATCATTTTCCCAGATGAAGGAATGTGGTCACCTAAGTTGCCTTATGGTTACACAGAGATCACAGCCTAGAGCTAGCATCTGACCCTGGGCAGCCCAGCTCCCTAGTCCATGCCTGTGACCAGTATGTGACCCTGCCTCTATTAAAAGGTTCCACGGTGACAACAGCAATACTGCTTGATGCCCATGAGCCCTGACAGAGTGACAAGGTCCACTAGACAACATGGCTTCCAGATGAAACAAACTTTCTCTACCTGACGATGGATCAACCTGCTCCATCCAGGAGATGCAAAACACTCTCAAACGTGCAGGCCCTATTCTTATCCCTGCCGCTACCACAGAGGCGTGGAGCTTCCTACATGGGTTTCACAAAGTCATACTACACCAGAGAAAACATGCACGTACACAACCTGCTTCAGCTGTCAGAATTTGATTAGGTCCTTTAACTTGTAATCTAAATAAAGATGAGAAAGAGCTATTAAAAACAAACAAAAATGCAAAAGCAAGTCTATCCTTACGGGAAAATATTTTGTTATTATTTTACAAGAAGAATTCAGCCCTGGCTGGTGTGGGTCGGTAGACTGAGCGCTGGCCTGCAAACTGAAAGGTCGCCAGTTTGATTCCTGTTCAGGGCACAGGCCTGGGTTGTGGGCCAGGTTCCCAGTTGGGGGCATGCGAGGCAACCTGGTGGTGTATCTCTCACACATCAATGTTTCCCTCCCTCTCTTTCCCCCTTCCCTTTTTTCTAAAAATAAATAAGTAAATAAACAAAAATCTTTAAAAAAGAAAACAAAACATGGCTCAAAATCATCTTACAGTAAACACTCCCTCATCTACCGCCAAGGTACAGCCTAACAGGACTGGTACAAGCACTTGCAGTCTGGACCCTTCTTGCTTCCACATTTTCACCACAAGGCTGAGAAGGGGCTAGGGCTCAACCCCTGTTTCTCCAGGGGCTGGCACGAGGTAAACACCAAACAAACCAGGTACGCCACATGGAGCGGTCCTGTTTCCCCCGAGGAGTACCTTTTGGCTTCCTCAGAGTCCCTCAAAGCAAAATAGCACAGGGAGGGGCTGAGTCACTTGGCCTACAAAGAAGGGACACTAAATGGGATCAAGAGGAAGCAACGAGGAAGGCCTTGGGCTACCCCACAGCCTATCACTCACTAGAATGGGAGGAAATGGGAACCAGCTTCCAGAACACGGCTCTTAAACTGAAAACTTTTAGCACCTTTATGTTCATTGCAGCGTTATCTACAATAGCCAGTCTGGAAGCAGCCCAAGTGCCCATCAGCAGATAAGTGGATTAAAAAAACCTGTGGTACATTTACTCAATGGACTATTATTCGGCCACAGGGGGGAAAAAAAAAAGTAATCTTACCATTTGTGACAACATAGATGGACCCAGAAGGTATTGTGCTAAACAAAGCCAAAAGAGCAAAATAAACAAACAGAAACAGACTCATAGATACCGAGAACAGATGGCTGCCAGATGGGGTTGGGGGCTTGGGTGAAAATGAATGGATTGCGCCCTGCCCTGTGGCTCAGTTGGTTTGAGCATCTTCCAGTACATCAAAAGGTCTGATCCCCGGTCGGGGCACACACCTAGGTTTCAGGTTTTATCCCCAGCTGGGGCACATAGGGGAGGCAACCCATCCATGCTTCTCTCTCGCATCCATGTTTCTCATCAATGTTTCTCTCTCTCTCAAAAAAAAAAAAGAAAAAAGAAAAAAGAAAGGCAGTACACATATCCTCAAGCGAGGATTTTAAAAATAAGGTGAAGGGATTGAGAATTACAGATTGGCAGTTACAAAATATTCCCAAGGTTGTACAGTACAGCATAGGGAATATAGTCAATAATGTTGTAACAACTATGAATGGTGCCAGGTGGGTATCTGAAATATTGAAATCACTTAATAAACCATATAAATGCCTAACCACTATGCTGTACACCTGAAACTAATATAGTATGTCAACTGTAGTCGGAAAATAAAGTTTAAAAATAACCTGAAAGTTTTTTTTAAAGAAAACAAGCATTACGCAGTCCTGAAAAGCAAGGCTGCATTTCAGAAAGGAGACAGGAAACATGAACTCACCTGGGACGTGGCTCCGGGTTCATTTCCTGTCGCCGCTGCCTCCTGCTTGTGCCTCTCGCGCTGGACAAGGGCGGCATCCCTGGAAGGCGGATCTGGGGGGCGGGGAGAGAAGGGGACGGTCAGGTCTATCTACCCCGCGTCTTGACTCACCAGCCTGGAGACGCTGCTTTCCTGCCGAGTCTCCCACCAGCCATGACCGCAAAAGGCTTCCGCAGGTGGAGAACCCAACACTCTGGCACCAGTTGGGTGAGGCCGGGTGTGAAGGGGCAGGTAGGACGTGGCCCTACTCCCCCTGGGACGGCCACGGAAGGGGCGGGGTATCGCGTCTCCGGGACCATGGAAACGGAAACGTCGGTCTGGTGAACCCGGCCAGTCCAGGTCGCTCGCTCCCTGCACGGCTGCCGTGATGCTCTGAATCACGTTCAACGTCCAGACTTTGGGTCCCCTCACCCTGAAGGGATGAGGTCGTCCCCGGCTACCCCGCCAGGCCACCTGTCACCCTCACCTCTCGTCTCGGGCCCCGTGATCACCGCTCGCCGCTGGCCCTGGGAAATGAGGCCGTTCCTGGAGCGCGGCCTTCCCCGTCCCCGGCGGATCAGAGAGGCCGGGAACGCTGCCGTCGCGCCTCGGCCCGGCCCGGGCTTTGTGCGGAGGGCGCCTCGCCAAGCCGGGGTCCCCAGCTTGCGGACCCCCGTGCCCCCGGCCACCCTCGCTGCCCCCCGCATGTCCTCTCGGGCACACCCGCCCAACCCGGGCACTGCCGGCCCCCTGCGGTCGCGTCCCCGCCCCGCGCGGACCCCGGCCGCCGAGACCACCGCCGCACAAGACTCGCGAGAGCCGGCAGCGCACCGCGGCAGGAAGTGGGCGTGTGTGCCGCCGCCGCGCCCTCTGGGAAATGTAGTCCCACCACGGTCTCGAAGGCGTCGGGCTGAAGGCAGCCTGCTAGGGGCAAGCCCACACCGGGATCACGCTGCGTCAGTCCTCGAAGCCCCGTGCCTTTAGGCCACCCCAAGCGGGAGCCGCGCCCCCTGGGCTTCAGGGAGTCGCGCCTGGGTTGGAACGTGCAGGCGCGGTGGCTAGGCGGGGACGGGGCTTCAAGGAGAATGGACACGGAGCTGGGCGGGGCAAGTAGGGTGGTCCTTAGATGATCCTCTCACTGGTCGCACCGTCGACAAAATAGCGGGCAGCAACGCTGGGCGAAACCAGGGATCAAAGTGTGACTCTGATGGGGGGAGAGGGAGAGAGAGAGAGAGAGAGAGAGAGAGATCGTGTGCCCGAAGCGCACTTTGACCCCAGGTGAGAGAGAGAGAGAGAGAGAGAGCGAGAGAGAGAGAGATCGTGTGCCCGAAGCGCACTTTGACCCCAGGTGAGTCCCTTCTCCCCAGATACTCGGGCCTCCATACCTGCCACACCTATCCTTCAAAGGCTGCTATGTACTTGCAGACTCTGGGTCTGAGCAATCTTTTTTTTTTTTTTTTTTTTTTTTTTTTTAATGATAACGATTTTTGACATCTATAAAGTTACATCATTAAAGTTACCAATAATGTTACATTTTAAAAACCAAATTATACGCCCTGGCTGGTGTGGCTCTGTGGATTGAGTGTTGGCCGGGAACCAAAAGGTCTCCAGTTTGATTTTCAGTCAGATTACATTCCTGGTCCCCAGGTGGAGGCATGCCAGGCGAAGTTTCTCTCCCTGTCTCCCTTCCTTCCCCTTTCTAAAAATAAATAAATAAAATCTTTAAAAAATAACCAAATTATAAAGTTATATAGTATAATCTCATTTTTATAAAAACAATAGCTCTGTATACAGGTACTTTGACCAAAATATTACTAGTGGTAGGATTATGATTTTATTTTCTTTGCAACTCTGCGTATTATCTTAATTTTAAAAAATGATATTCATTTGCCTAAAACTTTTTTCACCTGGGTGTCTCCTTTGTGTCATTCACTAGTCATCTCCTCAGAGAAGGCTGCCCAGCCTCCCAGTTACAAATACCACCTCTCATGACCTTTCAAAACCCCCTATATAGTATTATCTGGAGTTAGCTGATGTTCTATTCCTTTACAAGTACATGTCATAGGAGTGCCAGGGTGGGAAATATGTTAATGAAAGTCAGCATTAATAAACAAAAGGTGAAAAAAATCCTCTATTCATTGCAACGCATGAGGAAAACAAATCTGATAAAATCCAATACAAAACTAATTTAAGAAAATGCTTATTAAACTAGGAATAGTTAACTTCCTCATCTGAATAAAAAAATAGAATAAAATTTTTCTAAACCTCAAATACATTCATTCAGCTTTGGTTAAAAATATGTTTTTAGAAAGAGAGAGAGAGAGGAAGGAAGGGAGGGAGAGGAGGAAAGGAAAGGAGGAGAAAGGAAGGAAGGAAGTTCTATGAATGGAAGCAAATACAATAAACTGTCTTTATCGTAAAGAATATTTACTCTTGACTTACCATAAAAGTGAAATGGGGAAGAAAGTCTCAGCCCAAGCGTTGTCTTTCTTGAGTTAGTTTTATGAAACTATCTGAAAGGCAGTAGAGTGAAAAATCTGACTTCATCAAACTGAAATACTCAAAATGTGAAGTAAAGTTTTTCTTTAAAAAAATATCAGTGAAGCCATAATATTGGTAGGCTAAATGGAAAATTGAGGAACTTTCATTCATAGCTATCTCAGGCAACAGAGCCTTAGTTGGCATGGTTCCTTCAGGTTTCTTGTGGTTTAGAGTTATAAAATCCCAAATTCTCCCACAAATTATCATTCCAATAACCACAAGGCCAATGTGAATTTTAATGGCATTGTGATATTTAGCAATCATAGGTACAGTGCTACAAAGGAGTCAACTAGTCAACTGTGTTACAAACATGGCTTATGTTCTAGTTCATGCCTTAAAACAAAAATTTTAAGCTATAAGTCATGCTTTCTTTTACTTTATATTACCCACTTCCATGTGGATAGGCATCACACATATTCCTTGGACTGGCACATCTTGTACTCTATTGGTTTAAGGCAACAGCGATCTAGACCACAGCTAACTGTGGCTATCAATGCATGTTTTCCTGACATAAAGGGTGGGACCCTAACATCCTTTGCTCCATTTCACCCAGTAGCAAATTTTAATAATACACATTTTCTGAGGATCTTTTGCATGAAACACACTCAATACTACCAATTTCTGCATTGGTTAGGTTTCTTTGTTTGATAGGAAAATGACCTAATCTAATTTTAAAAGGAAAAGATACTACTGGTGGTATACAACCTGGAAAGAACATGAATCAGGCCACCTCTAGCAGCAGGAACTTATGCACCATCTTTGAACTGTAGCCAAAGGATGGTTCATATCATCTCTCTCCTGTGTTTCAAGAAGAGTATGTGATTTGATTAAAGTGAACCCTGTATGACTGCTAATACAAGCAAAACCTTATGGAATGACATCAAAGCAGGTCAAAGCAGCTCAGCAAAGAAATTTGTGTGTAAAATTGTTTGTGGTTCCTATTTGTACTGTAGAGAAAAAACTATCTGATGTATATGCATTTTAATAATTTTAACTTTACAGAGTTCATACATTTAAAACTACCTTATCATATTACATAATTACAGAAATTAAATTTTCAATTAATAATCTACACTTTTTGTGAGTATACAGATGTCTCATTCTGCATAGTCATCTCCTGAACCAATTTTCCATAATTTATTAGTATTGGTACAGCTGTTCCAAATTTTTTACAATTCTATAATAAATGTGCTTATGTGTATATATTCCTGCACTTGTGCTTTTCAGAAGATAAATGCCTAGATGTACAATTATGACAGTGACTAATTTGTAATGTTGACAGTTAACACCATGTTGCCCTCTAAAGTGGCTTTCCAACAATTTAGCCTCCCAATGTATGAAAACATTTCCCCATCTGCAACAGTACTGGATACAGTGGAACCTTGGTTCTCAAACTTAATTCATTCCAGGAGGCTGTTCAAGAAGCAATTTAGTTGAAAACCCACTTCTTGTTATACTTGCACATTCTCTCCTTTGTCACCTGAGAGAACCATGACTCATCATACAGGTATCAGCATGAAAGGGTTGTCATGTCAAGAACCAAAGTTTTGTTCAACAACTGAGACATTTTTTCTGTGAACAACTTGGTGGAGAATCAAATTGTTTGAGATGGGAGATGTCTGAGAACTGTGGTTTGAATATATTAGTCACCCTTTACATTCATGTGGGTTGGTTATTGTGAGGACTTAAATTTTGCACTTATCCAGTGATTAGTATTAAAAACTTGAATATTTGATTGTTTTTAAAAGTTTTTATATATTTATTTTTAGAGAGGGGAAGAGAGGCAGAGAAACATCAATGTGTGGTTGCATTTTGCGTACCCCTTGCTGGGGAACTGGCCTGTAACCCAGGCATGTGCCCTACACTGGGAATCAAACAGGCGATCCTTTGGTCACAGGCTGGTATTTGATCCACTGAGCCACACCAGCTAGGGCTATTTGATTGTTTTAAGTTCTTCATGGAAGAGTTGCTAGTTGGTATGCTTTGCCATAATGTTTATCTCATCTTATCCTTGCTGGTTTCCAATAGCACTTTTCATGAGAGCTACATTCTTCATAATATGTTTAAACTATCTGTCAGCCTGTCCTGTACCTGTTAACACTGCATAGTGTTTTATACCATGGAAAAGGTTTAAAACCTTTACCTGGTCCTACATGTCACTTCTTTTTATGGCTCCTAAACTCTGTGTTCTGTTTACCAAAGTCTTCCTCAACCCAAAAGGGTACAAATATTCTACATTCTGCCCCAGAATCTTCATATTGTGTTTCCTGTTACATCTTTAGTCCATAGTTAATGCAATTGTCAATAAGAGATAAACTTTATTTCAGATATAACTTTATTTCTAGTTGGAGTACTACTCATCAAACATTTAAATAATCTATCCCGCCCAGTGACACATCAAAAATACCATTTTTGTAATAAACTAAATTCACGGGTATGTGATCTTTTTCAAAAATTTTTTTTAGATGCTTGCCCAGTTACCATGCTAAATGAATTTCAGAAGAAAATGGTCAGTGCAAAAATATCGTACAAGGATTGTAACTACAATTGAATGAATTTATAGACATCTATACAATGTTGAAACTTCCATCTAAAAATCTGTGTAGATCTCCATTTATCCCAAGTCTCTGTTCTTCTTCAATAGAGGGTAATAATTTCCCTTCTGTATATAACCATAAGTAAATTCATCTATAATTTCATTTTCTTCTGGAATTGATATCACAGTTGATTTAGTCTCATGACAAAAATGGCATATTTCAAATGTTTTTTTTCTATACTCTACAACAGCTTAATTACTGGCAACTTGAAAAAGGGCTAGATCACTCAAGTTCTCTATGTCTTTACTTTTAAATATTAGTAATATTTTATTTTTTCCTGGACTAAATATTAATTCTTCCCAGCAAATTCTACTTCATTGGTTCTTGTCTTATCCAACGCTCCAAACATAACATATACTATATACATCAATCAGATCATAGTGAGTTTCCTCACCAACAAAGGAACACAGCCTCAGACTCATGAGGAATCCACTCTATTACTTTGTCATAACACCAAGTTTTAAACATATCAATGCTAATCCTCATCATTCAT